TCATGAAGTACTTCCTGTTCTGAAGAAAGCCTTTGGCTTGGACTTTTGGCTCGGTATCTTCATACACATGATCTACTGTGAGTTCTTTTCCTTCAGATATACTCAAGTGGTCACTTGCAACTCCTTTTTCTTCACCAATGCTCTCTTCATCTTGATTATTTTGTAAATTTTGGCCTTGGGTTTCAGGTTGCTGTTGACCAAGCGAGAGGGCGCTGATGATATCAAAATTTAATGAGGCAGACATGGCTTCATCATGATCACCCACATATTTGCTACAATAGTTGTAATTTGCATCTGGTGCATCATCATCTGAGATAGCCTCAGAGCCTGAAACAATAAATGGCTGAGAAGAAGAAGAATTTGAAAAAGAAGTCTGATCAGACTCAAGGAGATTTACATCTCCACTGTTTGATGAGGGAAAGTCTGGAGACTCATTAGCAGCTGAGAGATCCTGAGAAGCACTTTTGACTGACAAATAATTGTTTCCTTTTTTCTCCATTTTCTCTTTTTCCACCTCCATTTCATCATCCTCTTCCTCAATGGAAGTTGAAGACAAATCAGAGCTGTTCAATCCATCCTCAATGGTAAGCATCATAATATCTCCACTGATGTTGTCCTCTGTCTCTGTTTTTTCAAGAGGCTCTGTTTGTTCAAAGAGATCACACTCAGAGAGTCCATCTTTGTCTGCTAACGCCTCACCTGCATCACAAATATCAGGGAACATCCCATCTATGTCTTCTTCAAGTGAAAACATTATGCCTGGGATTATACCATCTGGGCAAAATTCTTCAATGAAAGTTCCACTGGTGCATATGTTTTCATACAATATTCTGTCTCTGTGTGTTATGCATCCATAAACTTTATTAGAAGCCATATTAACATCACTAGAACTTTCATGTGATGTTGATACACCATTTTTAGTCAGTCCCCATGCTATCTTCCCTATGTCCTCTACTTGTATCTGCTCTGCTACTACATTGTCACCCACCTCTCTTTTACTGGATGAATCAGAGAGAAGATCCATTGACTCTTCCTCATCCTCTGACTTAAATGTCTCACTTTCTTCTAAACCTTCCACCAAATCTAAATCTATTCCCTGTGCCAACTCATCGCCGCATCCTAACTCATCCCCCTGTTCCAGAATAACATCCGGTTTTGCCTCATCTGTTTGTACTGTCTTTTCCGTACATTTTTTTTTCTCTGTCTTCCTCTCTTGTGACCCCTCCTGTTTCAGTACTATTTTTCTATGCATTTCCACCATATGCCCTCTTGAATTTGGAGGACTTAGATGTTTGTTGGTGTGGAGTGGAAAGTGCATATGGAAGTTTGAACTGAGATGATGCTGGAGATATTTTCTAGGTTTGGATGCAATTTTTGGTTTGGGTTCTTGATTGGCACAGTACTCTTCAGGAATAGGTGGTTGACATTGCATCTCGAAGAGAGGCTCAGCTTGGAAGTGTCTGGGTGCTCTTGAAACTCTAAAACACAATGTGTAATAAGTAAATATTAATATTTACTAAAACATTGCTGGAAAGTATACTGTAAACATTGTAACAATTCAGGGCAGTTCCTTCTGCTTTATGCATTAAGATTTTCTAGATATGGACACAAAAGAATAATAAGTAGAATAAAAAAATAGAAAATTCAGAAATTCACATTTCTATATAAAATTGTATGATATGCACACAATTGTCTTGACATATTACAAGATGTTAATTTGTATTTTATATTTTGCATACACTTTTATCATGCATTCAGTGTTTATTTCTGATTTTTAAAATGTTTTAAGTATATATATATATATATATATATATATAGAGGCTATATATATTTTTTTACCCTTGTCACGGACCCGAACTTTTAATGTAAACTATAAAAATCCATCATAAAAATTAATTTATTATGATCTACACAAAGAGTAAAATAAACCATTTAAGTTTGCACTGTATATGTTTTAAATATAATTTTCACTACAAGTTTACTATCAAACACAGTTTATATAGTGGAAATTGTATTACGTATAATTACTTCCATCGGGCCAAAATTGCCCATAGCTTAGGAAACATTCTCATAATTAGAAAAATATTAATATGTTATGCCCAAAACAGTGCTGGCATTTTGGATTAGCAAATACCATATTGTATTTCACATGTGTTCTTGAGCATTTACAAATAGCCTAATTAAATATCTAACCAGTCAGATCAACTGTAAATTACTCCATAGGTTCAGGATAAGACAATGAGACAAATTTCTTGAGAAAATGAAATAAAAAATAGCCTATCGAAAGGTGAGCTACTCTAAACTTGATACTATTTCACATACTTTCAGACATTTCCCACATACACATATTCCTCGTTTCCTAAATTACCATTCTACTTGATTTTCGTTACAGAATCGTGTTAAAAACTCACCTCCGGTCATTGTCGAACATCATCTAGTATCTGAGACACGGCAAAAACGGGTCAAATCCATTTGAACACAATGAAATCGTAATCCTATGAGAATTTACACGGGATTATAACACGAGATTATACCTCAACTACTGCGTTCTCTTCGTTTTGCGCTTTGGCAGTGCAGGACAGAGCTCAGCACGAGCGCGCGTGCACACGGTCGAGACTTCGCCTTGACTTCCTGAGGAAAGGGCGTCAAGACAAAAAGAAAACAAATAAATAGTTTTTAAATAAGGAAAATTGTATTTTTAAATATATTTTTAATATGCATACATAGGCCTATACAGTTTGTAGAAATTTGACCACCTAGTTTGTTCAGGAGCACACAGATCTGAGGAAGGAAAAAAAATATTTGTTTCTATATCTCACAACATATAATGAATATAAAACATAAATACCTCAAATAAATATTATATAGAGAAAATGTGCTTTGTTCAAAGTTAACTGAGGGCAATATATGGCCTTCAGAGGTTTGCATTGCAGGAAAAACCTCTCTTGTCCCGCATTTAACCTTCCTTAATATGTGGCAATATGTGGAGTAGGCTATATAATGAGCATATTACCACTTTTTGGGATTTTCTATGAATTCGTCCCTAGCCATTTTGTCCCTAGCAAGCATTCATGATGCCCCCTCAAAAAAAAAACCTGCACAGGATTATAGATTAGAATCTCTCCTCATGTAAATCTCTTATGATAAGATCAGTCACAGGTTAAATACAAATAGTTCAAATGTCAGTTGTTCAGATGTCTGTTTGTAACTGCAAAAATGGCTAAAGTAAAGCTAGCACTGAAAAAAGGTCTAGAATCATCAGTTTGTAGCTGTTAGCTTCAGCTGCAACATCTGAACTGGCCAATGAGTTGATAGGAGTAAAACTGGCAGCTGTTATTTTTACATGTATGATTAATAGTAGGAAGTCTTTTCTATGGGCTTAAATAAGGCCATGACCTTTTTCCAACATCTCTACAGAAATATGCTTCCTTCCTCAAACTTCTTTAGCCTGTGTTCAGTCTGGGTTAGTGTGAGCATTCAATTCTCCAGGTCAGGAGAAGAGTACAATTGAAGAGGTTTTCAAAAAAACTACTTTAAACCTAGGACTTGTACCTAACTTTACTTATTTTATTTATTTACTGTAATGTTATTTGTGTACAAAATTTATTCAGGTGTCCTTTCTGTAAAAAAAAAAAAACAGTTTTTTTTTGTTTAAATGTTTATGTATTTAGATGGGAATATAATGAGTTTGTGGATTAAACTTCCTGTTTTAATCTTTATTGCAGGATTAAATGTTTTACCTGTTCATTCGTTCCAGATCGTTGGGACACCATGACAACAAAAGTGTCACAAACTTGGGATAAACTAGAAAAAAGGAAAGTGTATTACTTTGTGTTAAGAGTTGCATGCACAACATAATACACTGGATCACATCATGCACGGCATCCTTATGTCTATGCCTTCCATTCCCTTTATGATATTCATATCTCCATGCTACTTTTGGAATAGCAATGGCAACTGAACAAAGGACAATATTATTGATATCTTCTTCTCCTCTCCACTCAAATAAATATGGTTATAAGGCACATTTCTTATCCTTGATTCATAGCACACTCACAAAGGCTCATTACCTTCACACACAGTGTTGTAGTTAGTTATAACCTGAATGTATGATTCTGGTGTTTTCATTCACATTGCAGTCAAATAAAACGCTGGAAAATGAGGGAGATCTCACTGGCAGTTCGCTAACAGCAAGTAAGCAGTTAGCGAACCTGCTGTAGTAAAATGTTAAGCACAGGCACTACAATCATATAGACATGCACATAAAGACATGGTGGAGACAAACACACTGACACGAAATCACTGTTCATCGATTGAACAAAGAAGGGAAAAAACACCCTGAACACTCCACCCTTTCCAGTTCAAGCAGGAAATGCTGAGCATGATAAAGTAGGTTAAGTGTTTATCAAGGATTCTGTTTTATCTGAGCATCAGTCCTTTTGATCATACATTAGCATGTGTTCAATTTCCATTGCAAATGTGTTTACCAGTCCCTGTTGATGCAAGATATCACATAGGTATATTTATTTAATGCATCAGCTCTGACTAGAGCATTATATTTCATGACACCAATGATACAACACAAAAAAAAGTTAAGGAAAGAAATGAGGTAATATCATCTGTTAAGAAGGAAGGGTGAATTTGTAATTTTATAAAAATTGAAAGTGTCTTAACAGAGCTCAGCTGAAGCTTTATTGGGTTAAAAAGCCCATATATCAATGTAGTGTTAAAAAGAGTTGCGTATAATTTTTATGAACTTACATTTCATGCTGGTAAAATCCCTGAAGGTCACTATCTTTGGAAAGTACCGTTCTAAGAAACATTTAACATTTTTTTAAAGAAAAAAATCATAAGGTTAAAGTAACCTTTTTATTGGTCAGCCCTCAAAGGTCAGATCGCTATAACACAATAAGACATATGCAGGTGTTTTTTTAAAAGTTTATTTAAAGCTTTATTTAATAAGAAAGATAATTGTGCAGAAGCAATTTAAAATCAATTTGAATATATAATTAATCAACATAAATATACAAACAAATAAAGAATAAACAAACCCTGGAAATCAAAGCATGTTGAAAAGATCACTGAGGAGGACTGTTTCATCATCATCCTCAGGCCCAAAATTAAAACTCCATCCTTCATAAGCAGGTTGTTCACCCATAAAAAAGTCATCATCCAACCGGAGCGTATGAAGTAGCTCCTCTAGACTAAAATGCTGAAAACCCCTTTTACTATGAAACGCTTCTTTATTGATGAAGGGATTGGTGCCCATGTCCTCATTCTGATCTTTCTTGAACTTTCTCTCTCTGCCCTGATCAGGGTTAGTTAGATGGTCCATTTGATCATAGACTCGCCTCCTCTCTTTGTCAGACAGCACCTCATAGGCTAAGGGAAAAAATGGAACAAAATGATTAATAAAATACTTCAGTTTGGTAGTGAATAAATGTATTTTAGGATCTACACTTGTGCATCCACACACCCTGAGCAATGTGTGTGAAGGTCTGCTGTGCATTTGGGCTTTGGCTCTTATCAGGATGGTGTTTAAGGGCCAGCTTGTGAAATGCTTTCTTGATCTCCCTTGAAGATGCAGAGCGAGGAACTCCAAGAACCGAGTAATAATCACTCACACAAATACAGCCACACACACATAACAGAAGCACCATGCATAAATGCTCTGCTGACGCCATCATTCACCTGAAGATCAAATGAGAATATTTAAACAAACCTATACACAATTAAACATATAGGCCTACTGCTCAAACATCGGCCACAAAACATTATTTAATGTACCAGCAGAAAAAAAAAACATCTATGATATCTATCAAGCAAAGTGGCATCTGTTAACAAATTATGCCAAGCATTTATGCCATTTTTCCTCATAAGTAATGTAGCATTTATTTTCCATTTAGAGCAATTCTGTTTAACTTTTTTTTTTTTATCACTCATCAAGGTGTCCTAGCAGAGAAATCGCAGGTGTAGTTCATCACATTAACTATGGACATGCTCCACTAAGTTTGAAAACCAGAAAGTCTCAAAAAGAGCTTTTTTGTGTAGTATTGATAGCCTATTGTGGTGCGCGCACACACACACACACACACACACACACACACACACACACACACACACACACACACACACACACACACACACACACACACACACACACACACACACACACACACACACAATTATAATACAATACAATGTAATTCACACTTTTCTAGTGTCCAAAAACTATTGGGCCCAAGGTTCCATAAGAAAGAAATTCATAGATTTCAGCAAACTTACCAAAGTAGGCCTTTTACTTATACACCCAGAACATTCCCTGAAAAAAAATAAGTTACTTAATCACGATCAATAAACGCAGAATTTCAATCAATGCTGATCCAGCGTTTCGAAACGTTATTGCGCTCTTTTAGTGTGTAACATTTCTTCGTGAACGAATTGTTTTTTATGGATCTTTTGGTGTGAAACATTTCAAAAGATTCGATTCATTAGGATGATTCAAAAGATTCACTATGCCACTAACATCCATTCACGTGAGGGCGCTGTGTTTTTGTCCGCATGTCTCTTCACGGTAGTGCTGCTTCTTGAGAGCGGATTGTAAACACACGGCTATGGCTGCTGAGAGGGGCGGAGGCGACAACGACGTTAACGACGAAATGGGGAACCAACTACAGCTCCTGCCAGGTGCGTATTCCTATTTGTGTCCTATTAAACACGGAGTTATCAGAGTCGAAACCATGCCATCTTAATGTCCTCCTCAAAACTTGCAGGGAGATCTTTACAGACATTTCCAGATCCGCAGCAGTCGCCGTACATGACAGCTGACAGGTTTTCTTTACAAACTGAAAGTGTGCGTACACCTGTCATTTAGAACACAACACACAGTATTTGCACTTGTGTGCAACGGTATTTTTGTAACACGGAGCTGTAGCAAAATGGATGCAACAATATGTGGAAGTCAAGTGTTGTACGCATTTTGTTGTTTTATTGTGTTGTCAGCGAACAGTTGTTATTCATTGCATTATGTACCTAGATGAGATATTTGCTGATATTGCTTGATAATTTGCTGTTTGCTTAATAGTGACTTCATGTATGCAAGTTGTCCTCAGATGACTCATTGTAATGTAGTAGTTAACAAAATGAAAGTATGAGTAATAAGTGAAAATGGAGTAAATAATAAGAGGAATTATATTCCACTTCTAATCTTTATATTTCTTTTTTTAATAGAAAATGAAGAGGAAGAGGAGGATATCATGGAGACTGAGGATCGAGATGGTGAGGATGCAGAAAAGCCAAGTATTATAAACTTTGACACAAGTCTGCCAACTTCACACGCTGTGAGTGTCATCTATCATCAGTACTTTTAAACACTAATAAGATTAAAATCATTTTTAGGATATAGCTCTTTCACTCATTTGAATTCATTAGCATGCACGTTAATATTAAATAAGTCGTTTATGGAGAAATTTTTGCTGTAAAAGAAATCTCAATTTATAGAAATAATGTAACTAAGTCATCAATAGTTTTTTATTTTATTTTGCATGTTCGTCTTCATTTGTGTGTGCATTGTGAAGTATCTGGGCTTAGACATGGAGGAGTTTCACGGCCGTACCCTGCATGATGAGGACAGTGTGCAGAATCTGCCAGTTCTTCCCCACGTCGCTCTCATTCTGATCCCAGGTCAGACGCTGCCCTTGCAGCTTTTTCGACCACAGGAGGTCAGCATGTTCCGCAACCTCATAAGCCAAGACCGCACGTTTGCCGTGCTTGCACAAAGGTATTAACAGACACAAGATGTAAAATAATAACTACTGCACATTAATGATCACGTACCTTTGATTCCTCTTCAAAGACATTATTTAAGCAGGTTGCAGTAGAGGGTTTGCAGGTGTATTGATATTTCTTACATTTGTACATGTATGTCATAGTTTGACCAGGTTTCTATTTCTCTCAGTCCTGATGCGAGTGGAGCAGAGATAAAGGCAGAGTTTGGGACGACGGCAGAGATCTATGCATTTCGTGAGGAACAGGAGTACGGCATCGAGACAGTGAAGATCAAAGCTATTGGACGGCAACGCTTCAGAGTACATGAAATTCGCACACAAGCAGATGGGTAGGGGTATTCACACGCTTTCAGTGGGTACAATGCTATTTTTCATTGAATTCAGTTATGTAATGATAAACTATATTCTATATTTTTAAACTATATATTTCGTAGGATTCGTCAGGCAAAAGTACAGATTTTACCAGAAAGGATTCTGCCAGACCCTTTATGTGCACTGCAATTCCTGCCCCGCTTGCAAACATGCACTCCACAGACCAAATGCTCACAAACAACACCTCAGCAGGACCGGTGCAGCCAGACCTATAGACAGGTAACTGACATGCAGGTAAACGCACATCACTTTAGACCACTTTAGGAAACATCCAAGGGGGTCAGGATGAAATTTATAATTATTATAAATACAATTATTATTGTTGTTGTAGTTGTTATTCTATTAAAACATCTAACTATTATTATTAACCCTCTGGGGACCAGAAACGCGCCCGCGCGTTTTGCCGTTTTTTTTTCACATAGCAGAAAAATAGACTTAAAATACTCTGTTGATTTTGATCGTACATATAAGTGTTATACATCAATCGATCCTGTTAATTGTCTATTATTTTTCTGTATACTCACAATAAAAACAAAGTTTTGTGCTTTTTGTCAAATAAAGAAAAATAAACATGATGCGAGTTTTGCCTTCTCTCTGTCAGTGCAGTCCATTCTGAAACACGTCCGAAAAATTAACTCTAACTCTGCAAATACTTGTCATACAGGCACGAGAGGTTTTTCTTTATGAAGCTTGAATTCTCTTCTTTTTAATGATGTAATTTATATAAAAAACAAATATTCTCAGTTTATGTAATCTGTATGAAAAGAGAGTGCTGTCAGATTTTTTTTCCCCAGCTCATTACACTTCATTACGCGTTAATCTGACACGCCCACGGAGGACGCGCGCTATTCAAACGCAAATGTCGAGGCAAGCCATGACAATGCCCACATCAGCCGTTCCACCGCGGCGGTAAAATGTGGGGTGTATTTGCTGCCTTTTACCGCCAAGAGGCGCTACAATCATAGACTCTGAAAAGTGTTTGTTTATTCTCTCTAATGCGTAATCTGCTGCCGCACCGCACTGATTCAGAGCGTTTGAAAGCTGGTAGCAGATGAATTCAACAAGTGAAACGTAGTTAAAATAATTCATAATCACAATACTGAAATTAGTCACAGACGTAAAACAGTAAAATAAACAATAAAAACAGTCACAGACGTATAGACGATAGCTCAGTGGTTAACGCAACAACACGAGCTTCGAGGAGCTTCAATCGACTCGGATCGAATCTCAATGTAGCATACATGTTGTTAACCGATGTTGCCCTACAGCGTTTATGTTTAACCTTCTTGATGCTTAAATAGCTAACTGTTTATAACTGTTTACTTATTTAAAGTCAAGAGTTTTGTTTAATTATTATTACAACATAAATTTGCTACATTCCTGGAACCGCAGCCGCTGCACAAAGGACAAAAACTGATGAAGGAAGATTGTCAGCCGATTGCATCAGAAAATGAAAATGAAGAAGCACGTCTTTAGTCTGCTAAATTATTGTGTAATGTAAAAGAACACTAAAATTACTTAAGTTTGAAACCAAGTTCGAACATTTCAAGGTTTAAATAAAGTGTCGGGACAGTTTTTTTTATTTAAAACAGGGTTGCATCGGGTTTAGAGTTTATTTCTTTTGCGATGCAAAATAAGAAACACTAGGCTAATCTTATTCTTGCGACATTTTAAATTTGTATTGCCAAAGAAATGACAGCTATATTAAACAATTAAAACAGTAGGCCTACAAAACGAAAATTGTCCAAAGCAACATAATTAAATTAAAACATGCGTTTTTCTTTGCCTCTCTCGCGCTGAATCTCTTTTTAACAAGTTTATTTAGTCTCCCTCGCTCTCCATATGAAAGAGGAACATTAACACCTATGCCTATTGTCCTGCGCGCTCGATACAGCACTGAACTGTCCCTCCAACCCCCCACCGGCTATTGGAGTCTGAGGCTGATTTAACACAAAGAGAAGTCACAATTCACACTTAAATCGCTATTCTAGACAGTGTTGATAATGAAGGAATTAAATGATTTAAGTTACATGTAGCCTAGTGATATTTCTGTCATAAAAGCTTATTACTAAATATTTAATTATTTCAGTAATTGATGAAATAAAACTGGTTTGGGCCAGCTTTTTCCAAGCAAAACTAAATATAATCTGAAAAAACGCATGTTAATTTGTTTTCATGAACAAAATGTTCAACTCAATATTAAAGTCTACAGGGATCTTTGGATCCTTTCAACCAGGCATGCAATTTGTGAATTAAGTTTTTTTATTTTTATTTTTTATTCAAATAAATATCGAACCACGGTGCTTCGTGGTAATGCTGCTAAATTAAATAACATGTATTGAATAATTATGAACTTAAATGAAACAATATCGCAACATTTCGACAAATGCATTATTTGATCTGTTTTTACATTTTAATTCAGGGCGATTTAGCCTGCTACATTTAATTAGAGCGAGATTTTCACCCTTGTCTTGTCATTTTCTCATTGGGAAGCGCTTACAGGCTACATGTTTGAGTACATCCTCTGTACCTCTCGTTTTCATATG